CACACACACACACACACACACACACACAAATATATATATATATTTATACTTTATCCATATTCATAAGCAATACTTTATCTTAAAATGGGATTACAAAGCCATCATCACCATGTGATAAGTTCCTTTGTTTTGGAGAAAGACCAGCTTTTGATCCCATTTTGAGGTTTGTATTACTGAGGAACATTGTGCACTAAGTAATGCCCAGAGGTATTTTGAATAATTTGAAAATGTTCCTGGAAAAAAACAGCAAAAAAACTGCTGTATTTATGTAAACTGTTTTTATTCCAAAGAGAAAGCCAGACAGCAATCAGAACAAACAAAACTGTTTGTTTGCTTCAGTAAATAAACAAACAATTTAAAGGAAACAAATTAAATAAAAGCAAACAGAAGTGTTCCGTAAAGGCTGTTCAGAGGTTACAATTGGATAGATTTTCAGACCACACTGGGGGAATCTAAAGATGCAACTGTAAAGCGATGACATGCTGACGTTGGAGTTATTTTCCATTTGCAGTGGGAACAGTCCTGCAACAAAAGGCAATATTCCCAAAACATTCTGCAAATTACTTAGTGGGGAAAATGGGGGAAAATGCAGCCTGGTGTTTGGTTGTGTGGACTCTGGGTTTACAACTGACTCATCGGTCACACACAGAGCAGGAGCTAGCTATTTGTGGTGATTTGAATTTGGTCGGTTTAGTGTCTGCACTCAAATTTTGGTCTGCCTGAAACTAATCTTGAGATATTATTCATGCTGTGACCGGCCGGGCCAAGTCATTGCTTTTAGCCAGCTGGATTTGGACAGAAATCTCCCAGATAAACTGATGTTCACACAGGGAAACCTCCGAATGCAACTGTCTGCTGCACATGATTATTCTAAGTGTCTAAATAAGCGTGTCTGAACAGGCTGAGACTGCTGTTGCCAGGGTACCGGCCACGGTGGCAGACGGCAGGAAATGAGTTATCTCAGCAGAACTGGAATTAATACACGCTTACTAAAATAAAGTTTGGATGTGTACTCAGTGTTTGCTCATGTGGAACATTACCAACTATTAGACTGAGCAGACCTTGAATAGCCACAGCTACTCTAAAACAACGCATGAGTATCAGAGTCAGAATCAGGGAGCTAAAGTTGGAGAACGCTTGTGGTGATCTCCAAGCAGATCAGCAAATCGAGGAGACATCTGCTAATAAAAGCTGCACATTTGGCTTCAGGTGATCACACCAGTCCATATACCAGGACCTCTTATCAGGGAAGGCCTGTGCTATCACTTAAAGAGTAGTAAGATGTTTGATGGGAAAAAAAAACAGAGGATAGTTTTCTTCTAAAGTTTGACATAAATTAAGGTTTTATCACCAAAAAGTGGCCTGTGCCATCTCAAAACACCAAAATGATCATCTCTTGGTCAGGATAATTTATTACAGGCGGGCGCTCTCTTGGCTTCCTCTGTCAAGCAATTGATTGCAATAGATTGCAGTTAATCTGCCATCTGGTTTCTACCTTCTGCAGACATTGCACAGTCTTTATTTTCTGCTTTACTGATTACTGATTTCAATTGATTTCCTCAACAACCATCTATAAATAACCTTTTATCATACGATCCCAGATACAATCCTGGACTTGATTTTCTCTTCTATATTTAGCTGGTTATTCTGGGGGTTTTTGGTTTAGAACTGCACCTTGACAATTGCCATGACAAATCATTTGAGTCTGTAGTCTGGAAATGACTTTAGGTAGTTAAATCATGTCCAAACATTGAGACAGTACATGCTATTTAAAGTAGCTTTACAGAAAAACTTTCTATACTTCAAACCAGTCGAAACATCCATTCTTATAAATGAAGCATTGTCTGAAAACTAAAATAAAAATGAATAGATGCATAGCTTTAAAGGGGCATGCTGTCAGTTCAAAATAGTGGAGTTTTAAAAGAAAATACAGTGATTTTATAGATTTGTCAAAACTTTCTAATGAAGGTATGAACAAATAGCTCTTAGAAAAAGTCACACTTAAGTTTCCAGTGGACATTAGATGTGGCCTTTTGTGATTTTAGTCATACCCATAATTCATTCCTGGAGGGTGCACATAGAAGTAAAACTGGGAAGTTCAAACTCTGTACTTTTGTTTCCTCAACGGCCTTTCATTCTGACTGACACAGAATGAGGAAACCTTGCTGTGGGAAACGGATATGCAGCATCAAAAAAGGCACAGATGAATCAAATCAACACACTAATCATCAATCTGATCTCATGACTGATAGCTGCTATGATTCCGGGCATCGGACATCCCCTTTTGAGCATTGAGCTTTTTTATTTGCATTTTTCTCTTTATATTAATGCATTCTTTGATCAGTAAACTTTTACTCTAAAGTTAAAGTTTGCTGTCATTCTGTTGTGACAGCAGTGCTTCTTCAACAGCGTATAGATGTTCATTCGCACAAACCAAAGTCAAGCTGTCAGACTGAGCATCTCCGGCTTGTGTTCCTGGCACCCCCCCCCTCTGCAGCTCCAGGTCTGGCAGGATAACTTCACAGCTCCCTCTTCTGGCCAAGATTGAGACTCGAACGTGTGAGGGGGTAAGAATTATCGGCCCTGCAGGTTTATGGAAACCACAGCATAGTAGTGTAATCGCAAGACAGGGACCAGGTATACACACACACACACACACACACACACACACACACACACACAAACACATAAAGATGTATATATATATCAGTGGCGGACCGTGCATTTTCCACCTAGGCCTTCAGTAGTGCTCCGTCTGAATCAATTCACCCCTCAATAACTTTTTTATGGTTATAGAAATCATCTTATTATGTAGAATATATATATACATACATACACAGATATATATATATATATATATACATATATATATACATATAAAACGCACAAAGATGCTGAGAATAAATTGAAAAGTGATTGAAACTGCTTTTGAGGGGGCATAGAATTTATTCAGAATCAATGTAATTAACCCAAATCAAGGTTAAAGATTATGTGTTGTTGGGGCAGTTTAGTAGCAGCTTTTTCTTTTTTTTCTCAGTCTCTCACAAGCAGATTATGACCTGCTGACCAGGCCAGAGGTAAACACAGGAAATGCTGATTTTCACCGCCCTGTAAATTGGGTCATGTCATTTAAGGGGAAAGAGAAAGAGGTGGAGGCTCAGTTGATGAAGGAAACGCTGATGTGGCTCGCTGTGCAGCATGAGCTCAGGACAACTTTGTGTTGTAGCATAGAGCTGATCTGTGTTTTATTTCAATAGTGTGTTTTTGTTTTTGATCATTCTTACAAAACAGATTAAAAGCGACGCCCGGTTTGCCAAATAGCTGTTGTAAAGAATCTGTGGACTAAAATGATCATGGACACTCACACTACACACACCACATGTCCGACTGTTTCTTTTTCTAATATTGATGCTCTGTTGTTAAATCCTGCCTCTCGTTTCTTCCCATACTGCAGTCCACAGTGCTCAGTCTTTGCTGAACTAATGCATCTATCTACTTGTTACAAAGAGGATTACCGCTCCCTCTGCTTAGCTTAGTTACCTCAAATTAGGATGAAGGTAAGGAGAGGTCTGCTGGCTTCAGCAGCCATCTGTCTGCCAGGTGGACAGAGGAGCACTCTTTCTGTTGTAAATGGATACGAGGCTGGAGCTGGATGTTTTGATATACCCAGATGAGGTGAGGGTCGCCACTCCAGAGGACCTCAGAGAGTGGGAGCTCGAGACGGCCAGTCAGCTGTCCATCCCCACCGTCCGGCTTTTTGTGGCACTTTACCCGTACAACCCCGCTGCCATGTCTCCCAACTATGAGACGGCTGCAGAGGAGCTGCCCTTCGTGCCTGGCCAGATCATCAAGGTAAATTCTCTTTCTCAATTTGGGGCACTTGGGAAGGTTCATATTCATATTCGATTCTTCTCTGAAACACGTGGCGTGTTTCCTCATTTCATCAGCTGAAAAGCCTTTTTGAAAGAGCATGGTGGTGTTTCCTGTTTGTGCGGGCTTCAGGCCTGCTGAACACGTACAAAGACCTGAGCTCGTCTCTTCATTTCCTGTTACCGTTCACAGCTCATTGATGTGATTTACCGCCTTTTTTTTTACCGGATGAAACATGCAAACGCACACAAACACCGCGTTTTTGTCCAAGAGCTAAAAGTGATAAAGCTAGCTGTCTGTTCTTTTGTTAGGTGTTTGGCGACAAAGATGTTGACGGTTTCTATCACGGTGAGTCGGGCGGTCTCACCGGTTATGTGCCAAGTAACATGGTGGCTGAGGTCCCGGTGGATGATGACTACCTGAAACATCTACTCATGCAGCAGGGATTTATCCCCGTAGACCAGACAGGTACCAGTGTTCTGTCTCTGCACAACACCAGTGGAAAAATAAGACAATTACAATAGCATCATAGTAATTGCCGTAATATATATTAGGCATAATTTTTTAAACAGAACTAACCACTCAGTCTCCAGTTGCTCATAAATAATCTGGGCTATATGAAAATGTTTATAAAGGTAAAAAATAGGTAGTAGGGTGACTAAATGTATCATGAAAACTGACAAAAGTAAAAACACAACGGGGGGGCTTTCTCTGTCTATGTAACAGATGTGTTTGAGGGTCAATCTTTTTGTTGGTTCTCAGTTTTAGAAGAGAAATTCTAAAGTGTTTTTGCACGTTTTGCTGTTCAGGTCTCTCCGTCACACCAGATCTGAGTGACTCGGTCAGTATCTCTGATGAAGTGATCGTTCGTAGAATGGTGGCCTTATTTGACTACGATCCATGGGAAAGTTCACCTAACATGGACAGTGACGTAAGAGCGGCAAGTCTAAATATTAGGTTTACACAATTAAGCCTAATCTGCAGTTTTACATGAGTAAAGTCGGCCCCTTGGGTTCTGCAGGCTGAGCTCGGCTTTCGATCAGGAGACATCATCTACGTGTTGGGGGAAATGGATGGAGATGGATTTTACTATGTGAGCACCATTTCCGCATTTATCACAAGATGACCGATCACCCATTGGTATTTGCGCACAGAGTTAACTTTAATTTTCTACTAGGGAGATCTTCACGGACGGCGAGGTTTGGTTCCCTCAAACTTCCTGCAGCCGCTGCCCTGGAATTAGAAGAACCTGCTGCCCAAACACTTCTGCTCCAAATGCCAAGTCTCAGACACAATGTGAAATCAGAAGCTTTTACTATAGTAGAGTTGACATGTGTCAAAATGTGTTTTTTTAAAAGGTTTTATATGATAGCGCGGCAAAAGTTTTGCTTTAGGTTGGGCATTAATGAGCCTAAGAACCAGGCATAAACCAAGAAGATGCTGAAAAAGTGAAAAAAGAACTCATCAAGCTTCTCATGTATCAGATTCATATTTTTATTGGAAACGTTCTGTGAAAATTACAATATTCTTGGTGCATAACAGAAAAGTACATTCCTACATTCATCAATACAGTTCACAGGGTTAAACGCCAGATGATACATTATTTTAGCCTTAAGAAATACTTTTTTTAGCCTCAGTGTTTTGCAGACAAGAGTGTATAAATAGAGTTTGTCCATTTTTTGCCTTATACAATAATCCTATATTTTCTACAGCAGGCTTGTTTCTTACGCATTAACCGCTAATTTACAAGACAACTTTTCGGGAGTTTCACTGCAATTTTCATATAGAAAAACCGTACAGAAAGTCACTTTGTTTAATTGCCATCGAAGTACGAGCTTTAAAGCAGAAACTGACAAATAAACTGAAATATGTTCAGGGCTTTTGTGCTTTCTTTCACATATCACATCTTTTTTTTCTATGCTGGTTTTTGACTGTAAATGCAACTTTAGCAATTTCCCCACAATATTCGATCAGTTTGTCATAGAATCATAATGAAATACCATTTCTCATTAAGAAAATACAAACAAAAGCAATGAGCTTTGACTTTTCACACAGTCCAGTTGGTTTCTTCTCTTGGTTTCCTCTGCAGCCAACAGTATACTCATCCATAAAGTAGGAAACACTACACTGTGTAATGAAGTTTAGTAGTGCTTTCTACTTTATGGGTGACAACACTGTACATCAGTAGCTTCTTGATGCTCCGGGCACAAACATTGAAGGGCGACGGCTCAGTCAATGCTAGTTTCACACACAATTCCACTGAACACATTCATTTAATGGCTGAAAATGAAAGCACCCCACAACATCTGACTATAATGTTATATTATGCAGACAAACAGTTATAGCCAGAGTATTAAGTGAGGAAAAACAGACAACAAATAAGGGTGGAGGTCATCGCATTACCGTCAGGTTCTTACCAGGCCTTTGGACTCCAGAGAAGAGAGGAAACCCAGAAGTGAGCGTGATCTTTTTATTAACCCTGTCTGAGCCACGTGGTTCACACAGGAAAAGCTTTTTCAGTAACAACCAGAACAGACGTGCAAGCAACTGTGTTCAGACGCGCACGCGCACACACAAACTAGTAGGAAGGGTATTGAAGTGGGTGAAAAATACTTTATTTAAAAGAAACAATTACAGATTTCCATTGACTTTAATGTACTCTATTGAATTCTGTCCATCTGAACCTGATTCTGCTGTTGATCAGTTGGTCCATTTTACAATCTGTGTATGCACCATAAGTTTTATTCAAAGGTACTGTATGCATTTTTCTGTTCAATTTTACTCTAAAGAGTCAGTAAGTTGTTTGATTAGCTCAAAGCACTTGAGAATTCTTAAAGTTAAATTCCACAGGGTTTCATGAGTTACTTTTTTTCTCACATGCAAATTCAAAGCCTACACGCGTGAAGCTCTGACGCACCGCATCACAGAGTGTGATCTCATCCCTTTTAAGGATATAATGTGAGACGCCACCTGTTTCTCTGACATTGTGCCCTAAAGCAGATATCACTTTTCTATAGTAATTCTCATGGATGCCAACAAATAACCTGGAAAATCTTAATTTACTGATGACAAACACACATCAGATTAATGACGAGCATCACTCAAACGTTTTCCAGTGTATGAAATTGCTCAAAATTGAGATCTTACAGGTCTTCAATGTACTCTCTTCAAATAATCGATCTGTGTAGAGTTTGAATTTTAGGTTGAGACAACAGGAAGCCTCAGATCTCTGTAATATTTCTGAGAACTCATTCACGCCTGCATGTAAGTGACAAGGTGTGGGTGGGGGATGGTGCTACAAGGCTTCCCTGTCCCAGCAGCCAATGTGCAATATGCTTGCAACAGAAACTTTGCAAACAGAGTACACAACGTCTGTGTCCTCTGTTGTCACGACAACCTAAACCTCAGAGTCACACCAAGTGAAATAAGAGGAAGTGGGGGATGGGCGGCACGCTCAAACCAAAGAAATTGTCCATGTCAGAACAAAAAAAAAAAAGCGTGGCCTCGTCGTAAAGATGAAGACGCGAGAGGTGGCAAACAGTTTAAAGCCACTAAAAGTCGAGAAACTTTCGCACAGAGAAAACAGCATGCATGTCTGGAATAACGTGTCTGATTCTGATGAGCAGAGAACGTCTGGCAGGCCAGCATGACTGTGCACCCTGCAGATTATGTCAGCGCTGTTGCACCAGGGGCCGGGCTTGCATCAGACATCTATTTTTGTACAACATGGGATTATATCCCCGGTGATCCCCTCTCTGACTTAAGGGTGATATAGATAGGCTCTAGTTGCCAGAAGCAATCAGGTATCAACTACAACTGAGGTATTATCCCTTCAGGGCCCGGATTAATTTACATTTTTACCTTTGATCGTTGATCTCAAAACAAATGTCACAAAGTAGTCAAAGGATGAAGGACATTTTATATAAATACATACATATATATTCAATATATAGACCATACGTATCCATGTCTGTATGTATATTTATTATGTGTATATGTATATGTTCTAGAGCTGCTGTTTGAACCCACTTGTTTGGTGGCGCCATCTAGTGGAAGCAAGAAAAATATTGTCTTGGAAAATTGACATGAAAAAGCAAGATGAACTTTGACCACAGTTTTACCTGAAATAACAATGCAAACACTTCCATAAATGCAGGTTAAAGCTCAGACATGCACAGAGGGAGTGCCTTATGCCCATTCAAACTGACTGAATCATAAACAATCCTGCTGTCAGTCAGAGAAAGTGACTGAAGAGTTTTTTCTTCTTTAGGCTGGAGGCTGCAGCCTGATGAAGAAATGAGTAAAATGATGTATTGGGTAATATACTACATTTACGTGATTTATTGTGCAGGGTAAGACTGGCTAGATTTACATGCCTTGTAAATCAAACAGAGCTGTCATTCAGCAGCAAAGCAGCACAGACATAACGAGTAACAGAGCCAGAGAGAAAAATCTGTCACCATTTGACTCTCATTAGAAAACTGAAGCTGGCTGAATCCAGTCAGCTGAAACAAAGCGGTAGCAACAGTCAGTCTGTGTGCACTGGGCATGGCAGAAATGAACAAGGCTCAGTGTTTACTTACAGCTTATTGCCTATGTGTATGTTAACAAAGGACTGAACAAGGGCCCATAATAGACGAGTGACCAGTTAAGGGTGTGTGTCTTTCAGCTTGTTGTTGTCAGGATAAGCCTCGCCATTTGATTGGAGCCAGATTACCAGAAGGAACAGGTGAGACAGGTAGAGAAGGTCTTAGTGCCTTTGAGGGGAAAAAAGGACCCACCCAAATGGAAAATAATGAGTCATAGGAGGTGAATGGGGAACACTAGGGTCACAAAAAACATGAAAATTATCTGGAAAAGCAAAAAAAATGAAAGCCAGAATAAAATCAGAAAGCTTATGGAAATTACCAAAGGACAATATCTTGCTGGAAAACGAACTCTGGTTATGAGTGAGACAGAGCTGAACTGATCTAAACCATCACGACTCATTCACAAATCCTCAAAATGTCTCCCGATAGCCAGCTGGTGGAAAAGGAGCGGGACTTTGACCTGGTAGCAATTTCCAGGTAACAATGTTTGGAGAAGACTGAGATCTGCTGTCACTGTGCTGTGACATCTCTCCCCACATGACTGGACTTTTGGGGAGAACACAGTTTTGAAAATATGCAATCACGTTAATTTTTTTCTTTCCAGAAAGCACACGTTAACAGGCTGTGGGAGAGTTTCCCATGCAGGGGTCACTACAGGTACCTGGACCAGTAGCACCACTCACAAAGTGGGCTAAATGGTACCACGACATAACCACGCCCTTTTGGATAGTTTGTCAATTTAAAAGAAATCTGTATTTGTTCTTAATTCTAAGAACTTTTGAAATGGTCCAACTTGACAACAAACTCAAAAAGCATAATTTGTTGTATTTAACATATTTGAAAAAGATACTTTGCTGTTACTTTTGGAAATATGTCTGGACTTTTGGCAGTCTGCAAGCAAAAAACAGGCCCAGATCTCCTTCATGAGTGGGCTTGTAGCTTTACCGGATGGCTTTGAAGGACCATTTAAGACACGAGGTTCAAACAGTCCGCCTGAGGTGCTGTCGGGTCCACCCATCAGCCCCAGGCACCGTCACGCCTGGCCCGGGTCACAAGCTGTTGACTGAACCCTCAAACTGAGTCCGTGGTGAGAACTGATCAGGGTGTTATTTCATTCAGGGATGATTAAATAATCTATCTGAACCTTAAAGTCAGAGGGCAAGTTTCTGGACTGTTGCATCACATTACCACAGTTTGCTTATCAAGAATGCTCACTGAAGAGGAGAGAAATATTGGCCACTTTTATATGGATTGTTTTGAAAGTAGTAGTTTATTTCATGTTGTAAAAACAGAGATGTCGGATGTCAATAAATTGTCAGCAAATTAAATCATACAATTAAAGTTGAAGTTGCTCCTATGTTCGCACGCTTTGAAACAATCAGAGACTTTTCTTCTTTCTTAGTATTAGTATAATGTTTTTGTTTGGTTTCATCATTATCAAACTAAATATTTGACTATTTGGTTCTTTTTCAAACGTCTTATGATCCTTATATTTAGATTAGCTTATCCACACTGTTTTCTTCTGCTTTTTTAACAGTGGCTGATCTACTCACCTCTCAATGATACAAACACATTCCTAGGACATTCAAATATCTTGTATTCAAATATACATGTTTCCCATTCAAGCGAATAAAGTTGCAGAATGAAACGGTCATCATATATTGTCATCATTACAGTTAGAGCTAACTTTAAGCTGTGTCAGGCTTACATAACCAACTTCATGACCATGTAGAATTGATTTTCCTTAGTAAATAACAACCCGTGACCAATCAAATCTCTTCTGTTGTAAGTAAATTAAATAGTGTTTGATGTGATGACATCAGTTTGAAAATTGCTGCGCTCAAAACCTTTCAATTAGTCTTTCAAAGAAATGTGCATTCTGACCAAGCTGCATCAGGTGACTATAATGTGACTTCAAATATTTAATCAGTCTGAACTCTGGTTCCCTGAATAACTTCTTTGTGACCTGAAACCCAAAACAGGCTTTACTGCGTTTTGTCGTATAAGAAGCTGTTCCAAATGACAGTAAACTGGGCAGGTTGAAGACATTTTAGCTACCAAGTTACCTTTAACACCCTAATTCCTGTTGGAATTTAAGCAGATGAACGGATATCTCTCTACAAATAAACTCTTACACTAAAATGGCTGCCATATTGCTTTAAGTTACCGTTAACTTTAAGCTGTATCAGGCTTATATAAAGATCAAACAATGCCAGACTGCATGGCAGGACTGTGAAGTTACTTTAAATATTTTAAATACTCTGATCAAATCTTTCGTAAATGCATTAACATCAGCATTCTATTTTGGGGGAAAAACTCCAACACCAAGAGGAAATATGGAATTCTTTATGCATGTCCACACAAGATTAAGTGCAGGGAGGGATATGGACAAAGGGCATTTTGTGAAAGTGTCATGAAAGGAGCAATTATTAGCTTTAAAAGGGGTTAAAGTTCACATCTAGAGGTTGGTTACACTCATGACTTTCAAGCAAGAGATTGAAATTCGTCATCTGATCAACATCGATCTGATCTTGCAGACATGGTAAACTTTATTTAGGTATCTGGGATAATTTTGAGATTGGAAGTTATCACAGTAGAGAAATACACTCCAACATAAAGACTTTTCAGTGACCTGTGTCCCTGACTTCACTTTCCCCTGATGAGCTTCAGAAAGGAGCTACCTCTTTATTGGAAACTGTTTTGTCAAAAATAAATTTCACTGGCAAGTTTTGATTTCGGTGTGACCAACGTGAAGTCGAGTGCTTTAATTTTACTGCAACAATACTCATACTTGTTTGTGTCCCACATCTAAAACATATAAAAACTTTCTCGTGAATGGACCACTTACTGTCTTATGCATGAAATATTGTTTATATGATCAAATAAAGATGCATAACACTTGAGGGAGTATTATAAGAACGACGTTGCTGTTAGTCCTAGTAAAAGAGGGATGGATTTAATGAGGCATAATAAAGTCCGGTGCAAAACAGTTCGTCACGGCATGCTATGCTGCTTTTCCCTATTTTGTGCTTCTCAATATGTTTTTTGAGACGTTCTTAGCCAAGCCAGACCAAAACTAACGCGGCCCCCGGACTGCAGACTGCTGATTTGCCTCCGGGCCGAAACGCTACGTCATCACCGCCGTGCTGCGTTCAGGGTCCGAGGGTTATATCAACGCTGGAGCCACGGCGTAGCGCAGTCACACTCCGGGCTCCGTACTCGTGGCTTATTGGTGCTTTACGCAGGTCTGGCAGCTGTGATGGACCGCTGGAGAGGCAGGGTGGCCCTGGTGACCGGAGCCTCGGCCGGGATCGGGGCGGTTGTGGCCAAAGAGCTGGTCCGGCTCGGCATGAAGGTGGTCGGCTGCGCCAGGAACGTAGAAAAAGTGCAGGTTGGTGGAGAAATAAGACTTAACTTGTGGCATTTTGCAGGAGAAAGCACAGATTTATGAGGGGTAATCAGAGCAGCTGGTTTGGGCTCAGTGGAACTTACAAACGGACACTTTACGGTTTTTAATTAATGACTATCTGTAAATATAAATGGAAATTTGTGCTTCTGTAACTTACTCTAAATAGCACTGCTATTAAAAGGGAGAGGAAAATAACCGTGAATCTACTTTATTGGTAGTTTAAAAGATTGTTAGGCTGTGTCAGACTTGCATAACCAACAGAATAAGCGTGTGAAATCAATTTCCCTCATGAGATAAAACCCCACGAACAACTGATTCTATAGTTTTGTTTGTAGAATAAACACTTTTAAAAGTTTTCAATCACCTTGTAATATGTTGCTCTGATAACCTTGCAGGATGGGAGTATAACGTTACATCATATATTTAATTGATTAATCTGAACTCTGTTGCACAAAAAAACGTTTCCATATATTTTTCAATTAGCAGCACTAAAGAATAAGAAGTTTCTCCAAGATATTGAAACACTTCAGTTTGATGTTAGGATGAAACATTTTAGCGTTCAACATACATTTCTTTTACCTTATTTTGCATTTGGGAGGTGGGGTCTTCAAAGAAGAAAATCATCTGAATTGATTGGTATAATTTATTGCATGTATAGTAATAAAGCAAAAAACAAAAAACAGTTGGGTGTGAGGATGACGGAGGGAAGTGGGTAACAAATTTTATTTCCAAAGAAAAGAAAACTGTAGGTGTGTAATTTCCTGATTGTGAGACCCAGCCACTAGATATTCAATTATCCATGTTTGTCCAACAAACATGGGGGCAATAAAACCCTGGTGGGATTCAATTTGGTTTGTAACCAAGTGTAAGAAGATGCATTTATTTATTTATTTTATCCTTCCTGAAATCCAAGCCTGACCAATGCCATCTTAATGCCATTTCTAGTCCAACTATTCCGACAGAAATGTAATTTTCCGAGTTATTTTTGTTTAAAATGAGCTAAATATGCTGATATTAAGTGACTAACTAGCATGTAAAGACATATTCCTTGAAACAAACAACCAGAATAAGCCATAAATGTGTCCTAATAAAAGAGTCAATATCATAAAGATGTAGTCAACTATTAAACGTTTACCATTTAAAATAGAGGCAGCAGCTTTGCTGTTCTGACAATAGACTCTCATGAAATAGATCAAGAGATAAATTATATTGAAATCTCAGATGCTTCCTGTTTCAGAGTAAATATTTCCTCAATGATTTACCTCTGCTAACAAAAGGAAAGACATCTGAATGCATTACATTAAAAAAGAAGCCCTTTTTTATGCTGTTCTTTTTTATTTAAAATGTCTTGTCTTAATGTAAAGCACATTGAGTTGCCGCTTGGTAAGAATTGCGCTATATAAATAGAAATGCCTTGCCTTGCCTCAGATTATGAAGTGAATTCACTTGTAGGACCACTGTTAGCTCAGTTGTGCTTGTGTTTGCAGGAGCTGGCTGCAGAGTGTCAGAGCGCCGGCCACAGCGGCGTGCTGGTGCCCTTCAAGTGTGACCTGACCAAGGAGGAGGATATTCTGTCCATGTTCGCCGCCATTAAGGCGCAGCACAAAGGCGTGGACGTGTGCATCAACAACGCCGGCCTGGCTCACCCGGACCACCTGCTGACCGGCAAGACCAGCGCCTGGAGGAACATGCTGGACGTAAGGGCACCTTATTCTTCTTCTTCTTCTTTTTTCCAAACCGGTCAGCTGTGGCACCCGCCTGCGGTCCACTTCTGGACTTTGTTAGGACGCCTTTTAAATCCTTTCAACCGATTATCGACTTTAAACGCTGTCATCTGTCTTTGTTTGCTTTGCTTCTACAGACTTTGGCATGCGTCCCTTACAATTGAGAGCAGTTAGTTGTAAATTCTCAGTCCGTTACAGATTAGATTAGTCTGGAAATGATTCACTTGAGATGAGACGGTTCCAACAATTTATCTAATAGTCCTTGTTTTCCTAGAAAATTCAGAAAAAATTTTTTGTCCAGTGAATTTAATTTTCCTTTCGGTGTAAACTGCAGCTGGAACACTTTTTCAGATATCTGTTTTTATTGTATTTTCTTCTTTGGCAGTTGAATGTTCTAGCTTTGAGCATCTGCACCCGTGAAGCCTACCAGTCCATGAAAGAAAGAAACGTTGATGACGGACACATAATCAACATAAACAGGTGTGCTTTTTTTAAATTGATTTTCAAATACTGGTATTTTATTAGCATGCATTCCAGGGATTGAAAAATATTAGCCATTTGCAACAGACCTGCCAAAGCATTCAACATGAATGCCATCTTAAATTAAAGGTTATAGAGATCAGGTTTCCTTCATCAGGCTCTCCATTTCTAAACAAAATAATGATAATAAATTACACAAATCCAAGTCTAAAAGCATAAACAGGATAAATTGATCTGTCTAGTTGTAACTACATTGATGAACTTTAAATGCAAAGAATCAATGTTTCCAAACCATTTTAGATGGGATTTCTGTTTTTTCCTGTCTTTTTGCTTTTCAGTGGCAAAATTTGGGCTAACCTCAGAACATGTCCATCCCAATATCCTAAAGCTTAATGTGATGTGAAATTCCTCGTTTCAAAAGCAAATCAATCCTCCAGAGTTGAATCATATTCAAAGTTTTTGCCTTTAAAAAAAAAAAAAACTCTAACCATTATCTTTGCTTTTCCTTGTGCATTTTCTCCTGTTGCAGCATCTGTGGACACCAAGTCTTCCCCGTCCCTGACATACATTTCTACACGGCCACCAAGTACGCAGTGACCGCCCTGACCGAGGCCTTGAGGCAGGAGCTGCTGGAGGCCAAAACTCACATCCATGCCTCAGTAAGTCCCCGTTGGCTTTAGAAAAACTTCTTTGTAGTCCTTCAGCCCTGACTGTGAGCCGCTGAATAAAAGAGAGACCAGTTGAAGCCGTCCACATCAGGAGCTCTGTGGACATTGATACGTCCAGAATTCAGCCTCTGTGCATCCTAATGGGGACTCTTTGTCACTTTTGCTGCAGTGCATTTCTCCTGGTTTGGTGGTGACCGAGTTTGCATCGCGACTCTACAAGGAAAACAAAGAGAAAGCCGACAATTTATATTCTCAGTACAGGGTAAATTCATTCTTACTGCTTTTCTGTAGTACTTTTGAAATAACTGAAAGGATTAAGGAGATATTAAAACGTCTCTCTGCTTTGACAGGGTCTGGAAGCAATAGACGTTGCAAATGCTGTTACTTACGTCTTAAGTGCACCTCCTCATGTGCAGGTACTTTGTTTTTACGTTGTTTAATTTTTCGTTTGTCAAATTTCTTCTTCCGTTGAAATCCCAATAACTTTCCCACATCTGTCCTTACAGATTGGAGACATTGTGATTCGATCTGTGGAGCAACCCTAGTAGTTTTTCAGCCTATGATGGCTGAATTGGCACGCTCACAAATCTGTGCGTGATCTCTTCTCTACATTTTAAAAAAAGTACTAATTGTAAACACTAATCTAAAATATGAAATGTCTTAATAAAAGCTTTGTTTAAAAGTGGTTTGTTGTAATTTAGCCTGATTATTAAAAGATGAAGAAATTACATTTGGATCCGCTTATGACACAACTTGGCCTCTAATGAAAATTAGGCATGCATCAGTCATTTTAACTCACCAGCAGAGTTTTCTTTAAAAAACATCTGAGATTTACTGAACTTTAGAGAAAGCACCATTGATATAAGATACACAATTACAAAAAAATATCAAAATAAAGCTTCAAAACAACCATATTCAAAACAGGCTCAAATTGTTGATGGAACAGTAACATTCTTTCTCTGTTTTCATTTACTTTTTTTTTTTATAGTTTTTTTTTATTTAAAATATTTATTTTGTACATAACAACTGAATGTAGTTTCCTGACTCTTTGCTAATCAGCTAGGATGGCCCTTTAAGTCAGGACAGACTGTGATAAATTTAAAAGTAAGACTCCCAGCCCCACCAGTAGTCCTAATCAATGAAATACTTGAGCAAGCCACAGGATACCTCCACGCTGAATATAGTGCATGATTATGATGGTTTCTAAGACCGACTTCAACTTGTAATGAAAGAACATGTTTAAATTCAAGCCGTCTTATCTTGTAGATTAACCTGCATGTCCCCGTTTTTTGCCCACTAGAGGTCACAAGCAGATTATCACATACCTCCAGGATATAGCACATGATTACTGGTTGTATGTGTTGTTTGTTAAATGTACACACACTAACAAAAATGTTCTGTCTGCTAAAAAAAAAAATCAGAAAGAGGTTTAATCTAATAATCTCATTTGTAGATGTTCAGTAAATATGTATTTAGACTGTCTTTGTCTGATTTAGGACCTAGTTCTGCATATTCACCTTTAATATAAAGAAATAATTTATCATTAACCTGCAATGATTGTAGTCATTTAAACATTTAACTCCTGTTATTAGAAAAATATTGAGTGTAAAACTATGTTTGAAATAAAGTCCAATTGAATTGATACAACAGCATAATGACACAATTTACCACACAGAGGAGAAAGATTCACACATTATGTCCACATAATTAGTCAAGAAAATAACTAATTATGTACAATTGTGACAGTCTTCGTTGCCTTAGCAACAGCAGGCCTGTCTGTTTAATATGTTCAAAACATTTCAACAGCTGATTGATAGATTGATGGGAGATGTGGTAAAGGCATTCATCTTTAGTCTTGGACATTTTAAAGGATATTTCTGAATAAAGGTTGTTTTTTTTCTCAAATCCATCAAGATGTGAAGCCTTAGATTAAACTTTAACTGGTAAATCTCCTTATTGTGAGTGCCATGCTGTGCTGCTCTGCTCTGCTAAACCCGGTCTGTCTGGCAAATATGCAGGAAGTTGTGCTGAAAGCAAAGCCTGCACAGATCTGCGTCTGTGCCACTGCCCACAGATCGCTGCCAGCAAAGTCCAGCTACCCGCCCAAACCGCCAAGGTTAGGCGGAGACTGCCAAACGCCACCCCCCGTCATTCTCATGTTAATGACCGCCATTCATGCCGAACCCACATTTGTAGATTTGCTCAACTGTTGGCAACTTTAGGTGATACGCACTGAAAAGTAGAAATAATCACGTATTGTGGGAGGCTGCAGCTGCCTGCATCCAAACACAATCCGAGTCAGAGAAGTGACCCTTCGCTGTGTCCAAATGAAGGCACCGCACGGTTTGGTATCCAGGAGTCAAGAGGGGAGAGAATAACTCTAACTTTAACTAATAGCTTTAACAAAACCAAAGAAAAATCAATATTTTTCTTTGAATTGAATACGAGGAACACAAACTGATTCACAAAGACTCACAAAGAATGTCATATAAAATTATATTTAAGAAAGATTAACTGAGAACAAAAATATTTACCAATTACATTAACAGGTTGCATCCATTCAGGATGAACCTTAATTTGGGACCTTAATTTCCCTCTTAATTCTATCTAGTCTAAGGGAGCTATTTCACCGATTACATTAGTAATTTTATAATTTGGCATACGTTTTTAGAAGCTCATTTTGCATTTCAAAGTTCTTGTTTAAAAATTCTTCCTGTTGGTTCTGAGTATACTTCTGGGTATTTTTGTCAATACTCTTTGCTTATATTATACTAAAACTAGCTATTTTAGTCTATGTACATCTCTTGGAAATGCAAATGAACCATGATTGTTTGCCTGGTGCTCTCTCCTCCCTCATTCTCAGAAACTGCCTCATCATCACACATCTGACTGTGTTACCGGTTTTCCCATTTCAGCTTATGATTACCAGCAGATCCACTAAGCTCCTCTACATCCTTTACATGGGTGTGTTCCCAAAAAAAACTGTTCATGTATGTGGTTACCGGGAAGTGTTTGTAATATTTACAGATTAAGTTCCACATAGTTTAACATCTTTCTGTAACACATCAAAGTGCATTTTCGACGTGTCTCATGTGGTTGAGATCTAATTGGAATGAATTGCATGCCAAAACCCTGCATATAAAGTCGTCTTATGGAAGCATGTGAGAGTCAGCTGACCCGGTGGATTTCAGTCTCAGCGCCACCGTAACGTGCTGCAATGTGTAAGAAGTGAAAGCAACGAGCAACTAATCGGAATCAGAATGTGACCCTGCCTGAAGCTATTTGCTGGGGAGGAAGTTTGGGGATCAAAGTTTGCAGGATGTGGAGAAAAAAGAGCATGATATGAACTCATTGTTTCCTCGGCCTGCTTTTTGCAGTGTGGTAAGGAAGGACCTCGAAAACTTGAAATCAGGTTAAGAAGGTTAGCGTTAAGCCCCCGAGGTTCAGATTCCCGATTTCTTCACTTTAGATGAACATTTCCTAGTAAGCATCCAACAGCTGAAACTTTGCACAAAGCACTGGTTTTCTCCATGCTAGCAGGCTAGCTATGAAATTAGAATTTTATGGCTAGCCTCTAATATAATCTCATACATCTTCAAAGCTTGAATGAGAATAATTAGTAACACTCCTCCTGAGAATTATTTAGCTGAAGCATAACGTCAAAAGAAAGTTTGGAAAAGTTACTCTTAACTGAGATGTCACCTTACCTAATTCATGGCAAGGCATTTAATCCTACAGGTATCTTTACAGTTATGTAATTTGGGTATTTACTGGGAAATTCTGACTAGAAGTAGCCGACAAATAAAGTTTAAAGGTGTTTTTGATGTTGTTTTGCTGCCTTTAAGGTTCTGATCGCTGACTTGTTCTTTCCCCAAGAACTAGTCATTCTCTACTGAGACAGCTAGAGCATTGTTCATTGAGTAATTCCCATCCGGCCAAGACTGAAAATCAAAGTCAGTCTTTGGATCTATTTTTTTTTTTACTGAGAATTATCTGGGAGGGAATATTTTTTCTTATGTTAAGCGGAGGCAATGACAGACACCAGATTAATTATTCAGCATTTTTATTACTGACATACAAGCCAAAAGTTACAAAACATGATTCTCATGTTGCATTTAAACATGATTTACGAGATGTAATATCATGATGCCTGCTTTGCGTATCACCCGGAGGTTTCCAGATAAGCTCATGCATTTCTAGTCTAGCCCTGCTAAGCCTGTAAGCCACGGCTCATTGCTGCCTGTTGGACAGCAAAGCTTTTCTTCTTTTCTTTCTGCTAAATTGTGCTTCTGCTTTCGCGATAGAAAACTGAAGTGGACTCATGGCAGGTGCCGTTGAAGTGATCATCCACGGCCTTTCTGACCCTTTCATTCCAGCTGTTGCCACTCTAAGTGTTGAGGTTTCAAGTGTCATTGGGTCAGTTTGTTTCTTCTTTTTCCTCCTCTGGGTGGCCGGTGGCCGGGGGACTTTTGTGCTAACAGTAGGGCCGGCCGTTGTAAAAAGCCTCCATTCGTTGGGAGTTTCCGCTCCTCGCGTTGCCGCGTTGCTCGCATGTCCATCCGGCCCAGCGCGGGGGTCTGGAGCTGTGAAAACCGGGGGCGTGTATTCAGACCTGCCGTGAGAAAAAAGTTGCTTTTCGCCCGGAGGAAGGGCGGCTGTTTTCCTCCGCCGGTTCCTTTGACCCCTGTCTTTGGACCTTCGTCTTTTCAGAGCGCTGAGGGTGGAGCTGAGAGCCGTCACCTGTGCGTCTCCTCTGTGAACATCTGGCCCGCGCGGAAGATGTGGCGCTGTGGTGGGCAGCGGGGGTGTGGGGGGGTCTGTGAGAGGGGGGGCTGTGAGAGCTGGGAGGTGGGGGACATTCAGGCCATCCATCCAGGAATTCTGGGGGTGAGCAGAGACGTTGGATGTAGTTGAGATGGCTTTCCGTCTTTTCTTTCCCCCTCTTCTGTCTCCTCTCTCTTTTGATGGAACCCTTTGGGCTCTGGGGACCACGGTGGGGGCTCTGGGGACCACGGTGGGGGCTCTGGGGGTGCTGACAGACAGCCGGTGTTCAGTAAAGCCTGGCTGCTGTGGGGCATCAATAATGGTGGGGACGGGGACTAAGCTCAGGTTCTCTGAGGTGGTCACCGCAATGTTTACAGAAGAACCGGTTTTGTTGCTCTTCTTTCTGCGTCCTTTCCTTTGTCCCCTGGGTTTGGCTTTGTGCTTGATCAAAGCCACCGAGCCTGTCGAGACGGGGATTTCTTCCCTCAGCTCGGCCGTAGCTTTGTCCTCGGCTGGTTCATCTCTCATGAGGGCGTTAGAAGGTTCGTCTTTTGCTCCCAGCTCATATCCTCCGTCATCCACTCTGTTTGTGTTGATGCCAGGCCGCTGGTGTCTGTTTGACTCGCTGAGGAAGTTACTCAGAGCCAAGACCTCTTCTGCTCTGCTGCCAGGTGCCGAAACTGGACCTCCTTCTTCCGCTTTCGCGCCAGTCTCCGCCTTTTGCTTTCTCTTCCTCCCCTTTCCCTTTCCTTTGGGCTTCTTGCTGGTTTTCTTCTTCTTCCCCGTGTTCTTCCTCTTCTTCTTCTCCGAGCTCTGGGCCTCGTCTTTGTCCGAGTCGGCGGCGGAGCTTTGAGACGTGGAGACGGTGGCGAGCACCTTGATGAAGTCCTCAGCCGCCGTGACCACGTTTCTCAGAGAAGGCTCCTCTGGGCCCGGCACGGTAGACTGAGTGGCACTCTCTGGCCTCTCGTCCTCGCTGCTTTTCTTCGAGTCTTCGGGAGGAGCGATTGGCAGCTCGTCGATGACATCAATTCCTCCAAAGTCGTAGGGCACTGCCTCTCTCAGCATAGCGATGGGGAGCTTCTCATACCGCTTACAGCTATGAGTGAGAGAATAGAGGGTAGGCGTTGGGGGTCAAACAGGGATACTTTGTATACTAGCATGTTGTAAATTGACTTAAAACTCCTGGCTGATACTTACAGCCCATACCAATGCCGCTCAGCACACTGCTCCTCGTAGACAAAATCAAAGCAGGGAACGCCAATCACATTGAAAAACGCCTGACCAACAACTCTTGAGGATGTGTCATTGACATTCCTCAGACAATCTTTCAACCTGTAGGGGAAACAAAGAAGTCATTCAAACATTTTTCTCTGGAAGAAACCTGCAACCTTGGGACATCACACAAGTAAGTGGCCGGTTTAATGAACAAAACAAGCATAGTAATGCATTCATACGGTAACTTTCAAGCTACTGAAAGTGTGATTTAGACATTGTTGTTTTTAACTGTACGGCTTCGTCCGCTTTCACTTGGTTCTGCAACACATTACTGTGCAAATTCTGTGGACAGTATTGTTCTATTTTGTGTTGGAATATTCCTTAAACACATGTTTTCTTACAATTGGAGACAGTTGCTTCATGCCTCCAACTGTCCAACACAAAACGGTGTCTTTGTTTTATCAGAGATCTAATCATTTCAGAGACTTTCCAGTATGTTGCTTTTTACTCACGCATTGTCACAGTCACAGTGACAGACGGAGTGCCACTTGAAATTGGTGTGTCCATAGTTAGAGGAGAATGCGTGAATGACATGGGGGCAGTGGTCGTGAGTGCGACAGCAGCTGTCAGTGTCTGCAAACTCTCCTGTAGATGGGAGGTGACCGTTACTAAACCGTGCAGGTATTTGGCACAGTCTCGTTTAAATTTTATACAGATTTCAGCTTACCCAGTTGGTCATATCTGTCCGCCATGTTACCGGCTCCACACCACAGAGTCCCAGGGTAAGTAAACCCTCTTTTGGATCTTTTCAGAACTTTGTCATCCCCACCGGTCCCGATCCTCCCGCTGAAACGCTCCGATCTCTCTTTAAACTCCCGGCACATCAGCTTGGCTTCGTCCATGCGCGTAAAACGCGTATCCAGCTGTTGTCTGACTGCTTGCTCCTTCAGTCCCAACCTGCACTGATGCACGAACGATTTCACTTCCATTTGGTTGACGATGATGGAGCAGTTCACGACCTTCCCGGCGGGACTGACCACTGTGCGCACCACCTCGGCTCCGTCGGACACCTGATAGAGCAAACTATCGCCGATGATGGACATCGTGGCGCAGAAAGTGCCGTTAATCACGGAGAGCATCTCCCTGCTCTCCTTTTCTGCGTCCAAAGCCCGACTCAGGAAGTCGCCCTTGACGACGTTTCTGTCCAGATAAGACAGAAATACAAAGAAGACCGACCACATGATGCGGCGAGTGGCCCTTTCAGCACCACGCGTAACGGAGACAGCTCCTCGGGATTTTTCTGGCGCTTGGGCGCAGCCCTCCCACTTTAAAGGCGACTCTCAAGTGGTGTGATTATTAATGCAAAGAATGGCTTCACTGGGAGGAGTCGGCAAAATTAACCTCTTTGGGCTGGGCACCGGGTTTCTTTGTATTTCGCACAGTGAGCAGTTATAACCAACGGTTTGATATCGCGCAGGAGTGAAACCTGCAGGAGGAGAGCAGAGGGTTAATCTCTGCTCAGAGGTCGAACCTCAGCAGAAAGACAGATGACCGTGAGTTACCTCACAACCCCCTCAGCTTAGCCCCCCCAGAAAGTGGAGATTTACTTTGGGAACATGCATGGAGGAGGTTCTAGTTCCCCACGTTTTCCATGGTTACAAGCATGGGGTGATTGTGCTAACACAGGACATTGGACATCTTTCAAACTCCACAAAACCGGCCTTGAATTGGTGATGACCTAAATCCCAATGTAGGGACAGAGCTCTTTCACTGAGGAATGTGGAGAGAGGTTGACACAGTCTCACGCAAACTGCACCGAGTGACCGAAATTCACAAAGTCAGACAAAGCTGTCCTTTTTATTTATTGCTGTTCGCTTAATATGTATAAAGCCTGGACAAAATTTAAACTTGAGGTTGATTTTGATAGTTACTTTTAAACCGGCTTCCTGCTGCATGGTGTAGAAATCTCATGTGTTAGTGGTGGATATATTCATGTCAAATGTGATGCACAGGTTCAATTGACTGTTTGTGTATGTTAAGACTCTTAGTAAACAAGTTTTTTTTATTTAAAATTTACCTTAGCCCTTAATATAGTATATGAGCAGTTGTAGAATGTTTTTGCATCTATAAAACTTTACATGTTTCATTAGAGGATCTGTGTCAACTATCAAAATGCAGTGAATGTTGTGCACAAATAAACTGTGAAATATTAATCAAAGATTATTGCACAGTCCCTGCAGAAACTTGGAGTGAATAGTTTCTATTTCCGAGTGAAATAAAAACCCATTTTGTCCGAGTGGGTTTCTAATCAGCCCAGTGTTTAGTCACATGGCTGGTCTTACTCAGAGCTCTGGAGGAGGAGATCCTGCCTGCTAGAGGTACTGAAATCCGATTGCTGGAAGGCGGAGAGAAATGATGTAAAATCAGCAGAGGCAACATTCGACCACATCTTAAGGGAGGGGAAAGGGGGAAAAAGGTTTTCCATGAAGTCGTTTCTGCTTGAGGGATTTGGGGCACAAAAACATTTAAAAAACACGCAATCTGGTTTATGTAGGACGAAATCATCCCAAACACAGTATTAAAACTATAGAATATCTGAAGAAAAGAAAGACAAAGCTGTTATGACGGTCCAGTCAAAGTCCAGACATCACCATATGCCTGAAATACTGTACTAAGACAGTCAGAGATTGTAAGAAATATTGCAAATGTGAATGAACTGATGCAATTCTGTAACAAATAGTGTTATCAAATAGTGTTTCTTAGTCAAGTCTTTAAGGTTGTCTTTCAGATGGGTTAATGAATTAAACCTTTAATGAAACAATTTAATAATTTTTACCCTGTAACCCTGCACTTGTACTCACCACAGCATTTATCAGCACCCCATACTGTCAGATTACTCCGAAAACCAGACTGTGGGAAAGTCAAAGAGCTGCAGGTAGAAGTTTCAGAGCAGAGCAGAGCACAGCTTGAGCTCCGTTTCACAGAACCTGGATGAAATTTCAGATTATTGTTTTATTAAAACAATCAAACCTTTCCAGTGGTGAGCTGTGAAATGGACTGTGAATACAGTAAGGATTAAGTTTCTGCTGCAGTGAACCTGATCCTGAGCTTGTTATCAAAAATAACAACTTAAGGTATGCATGTAGGAAGGATTAACATTTTTACATGATATCTGGTTCAACTTTATCCAGTGCAGTGTCACACACTCTTTATATTTTATGTGTCTTCTTACTACCTATGAAATTAAGATAGTTAGATACAGTCTATTGTTTTTTTGTGTGGCAGCAAAAGCATCAGGCAACAGAGTAGTGAAGTCAGAAAATACTTGGTTTACAAAAAGAGTCAATTATAATTTTCTTTTTTCTTTTTTAAATCAAAATCATGTTGAGGTCGGCACGGTGGTTTGGTGGTTAGCATTATCGCCTCACATCAAGAAGGTTCTGGGTTGGAGTCCCCGGGGGAACCAGGACCTTTCTGTGTGGAGTTTGCATGTTCTCCCTGTGTCTGTGTGTTCTCTCCGGGTTCTCCAGCTTCCTCCAACACTCCAAAAACCTTCATGTTAGGTTGGTTGGACACTTTAAATTGCCCTTAAGAGTAAGTGTGAGTGGTTGTTGGTCCTTGTGTGTCTCTGGGTGGCCCTGTGATGGACTGGGGACCGTCCAGGGTGAACCCGCCTCTCCCCATTGACCACTGGGATAGGCTCCAGTTCCCCCTGCGACCCCATTGGGGAATAGACGGTTACGATACTGGATGGATGGATGGAAAATCATGTTGATCAACTATTTTCCTTGAAAATCGTGGTCTACCATCCTTTTAAAAGGGAAGGATTCTCCCAGGGCTGGCCCCGAGTATGCCCGGCGATTTATAATGGGAACACCACAAAGAGTCCTGTGTTCAACAGCTCTGCAATGCACACTGAAACATATTTCCCAGCTCTTTATTCACCTAATATGAACTGAGCTTTTGTAGAATTTATCAAAGAGGCTTTCTGTTTCTGCCCTGGTTTCTGTCAGCATTAATGTTTGCGCTGATCAGAAATATAAATCCGGTTTGTAATCATGAAGTATGTTCATGTGGAAGGGGTACATTTCACACATAGGAGGGATTGATCCATGTTTTGAAACTACTGAAACTTGAAACAGAGATCAAATCCTGACTGGGGCGGTGCCAATTATTTTTTTGCTGATAGTCTGCTTGCATAGAAATAATTAACATGAACCATTTTTATATATTTTGACTTGTTTTGTGCATAGTGTTGCACAATCTTACAGATAATGACACAATTCTTATAGAGACAACAGTCATTCGCTGGAAAAGAATACAGGAGTAGATGTAGCATGTACTTTTCTATTAATTTATGCAGATCAATTAATAGAAAAGTACAGAATTGATTGAGAATCAAGGCAGGCTTTACCCCACAGCGCATGAAAAATACAGATTTGTTTCTTCATGTAAGGTTTTGGGGACAGAATGCAAACCTGTTTCTGTAGTATCTGGAGGATTTCTAATGTACTGGAAGACATGAGACCCCAATCTGGCCCCAAACAATTTCAAGATTTATGACACAGCTATATTTTAAAATCAATTCTTTGAAAGGCAGAAAGACTGTGTGGAGACTTCAGGGCTGGTAAAGCTGAGACCGATGAACGAATGATTAGCTCACTTGATTTCAACTGAGTGACTTGTGACAGTATCCTGGACGAGGCTAAGAGTACTTATGTAAATAAGTAGCTCATTTGAGTTTAAAAACCTTCCCAAACTTGAGAATCTGTAACTGAGTCTAATGTCATGAGCAGCCCCCTCCCACCTGCCGGTCACCCCACTGGAACCCGATCTGCGTGAGTCTCTCCCATTCACAGTTCTGACCGAACAGAACGGTCATAGTAGAACGGTCCTCCACTTCAAATGGACGCGTTGGCTATTCCCGCAGACAGGCAGAAAGGGTGGTACCTCTCTCTGATGGCCCCAAACACAAAAGGCCCAGATTTCGCCTGGCTGGACCCGTCCAGGCTCTACTGCAACTCCCAGGTACGAGGAGAACGCGGTAGTTTCTTCATCCACGGCTGCCCAGTCCTGAGCTCACTTTGCATGTTGGGCCTTTATCCTCTTTCCTGTTGATCCAGGCTCTGGCAGACTGCGTCAACGACCTCCTCGCTCCATTCCACAACGACACAATTGACCTGGTTGCTGGGATAGATGCAATGGGGTTTATTCTTGGTGAGAAACCAAAGCACCTCTTTGGGTCGGAAATTTACAGTTCATGTTTTAGACCCACTTATTTACCACGGTTGTTACTGTTACTATATAGGTTGAGAAATACGAACCCCTCAGGCAGCGGTACTAAATTTAGAAATTGGTCGTGTAAACTCTGTTTCCCCCACATGGCATAACCACATGGTGCACATGAAACATGACCACACTTCCTCATAACAGGGACACTTTCTTTGTCATTTTGGAAAATAATTTCAGGGGCGTCTGTTGCCACCAGCATCAGAAAAGGTTTCCTGGCCATTCGAAAAGCGGGTCATCTGTGTGTTGCAACCCAAAGCCAAAACTACAGTGACTACACCGGCAGAGAAAAGACTATGGAAGTAAGGCTGGATGTTCTCAAACCAGGTTAATCTTCCCTTTCAACTAAACTTCATGAAGTTTGATTGATAAGAGGCATGATTTATTCTGGAGGATTAAGAAAGAGAAGACCACATTTTCTTCCACAGTTCTGTTGAACAGGGGTGTCAATAAAGTTGAATAGTCATTTTGTGGAGCTCCAAACAAAAACAGATGTCATAGATTGCTCATTAGCATGTGGAAATCAATGCTCCAAGACACTGAAATGAATCTGTCACAGGAGACATTTCATTTTCAGTTTTTGCAGAGTGAAAAGTGTTTGGTATTCTTCTACATTGTAGATGGTGGGTTTGTGTGTCAGTCCAAAGCACTCGATGGCAAAAAGCAGTGACTCTTCACACCTAGAAAACTAAAATCACCAACTTGTTGCTTGTGACTAACTCTGGAGCCAAAGGAGTGAAAAGATTTGTTTGCTTGTAACACAGCACCATCTGGTGTTACTAGAAAAAAGTCCTAGCTGGATCTATTTAATCCCGTCTGGTTTCTTCCTGAAATAGGTTTGTATTGAAGAATTTCTGATATTAAAAATGAGGATGAGGCTATCAACATCTATCACAAGTGAATTAACTCAATCACACACTTCATGAATACAGAGGATATGTGTGTAATTCCCATGAAACGATTGTATATTTTAGTTTTAAATTTGCCATCCACACCGGCCTCCAACAACAGGGCTTGTCTCAAATTCTTCAGCTTTTGATTGGCTGTTGGAGATGGGCTGTTTCAGAGGGGAGGATTTAAAGTGAAAGGGGCGGAAAGAAACCGCTTTAGCAGAAGGTGAGAATAAATGCTGGAGCAGCACTGTATGATTAAGAGTTGTTTTTAGAAACAGTCAAACCCCAAGTATACATGAGCTTGTAACCTAGAAGACTATGGACTCTTTAAACATACACTATAGTTCTCTGTTTCCTCAATTCTCAGAGTGGAAAGAGAATGGGGAAAGTTATAATGATCTATCAAGCTAGAGTCTTCTCAGCCTTGGTTTTTACTGAACATCTGCAACTGTTCAGAGGCATGCCGGAGCTTATCCTACATCCTGCATCAGTATGACCAGTTTGAGCTCCTGAGATCTGGGAAACTACACATCTATCCACGCCGAGTCAGCTTGATCTGCAGCTATGAACTACAACCTTTGAACTTCTGCAGAAACTTTAATTTCATACTTCAACATGCCGGGTTTGAAATCAAACCTTTATGTATAAATGCTTAGGTGGTTTGAGATGTATGCTCTGGTATAAAATCAAAGATATTTTGGAACTGTAACAAGATTTTTCTTAATTTTAGGCAATTTAAACCTATGATATTCCGTTTTTTTCCTCAGCTGAGTTTGATTTGAAGTGTTCCCTGTGTGTCCTGCTGCAGGCCTGAGGGTCTTATTGGTGGACCAGTGGATAGAAACTGGAGGCACAATGAAGGCTGCCATCCAGCTGGTGGAGCGGCTGGGAGCCACCGTCGCAGGTCGGTCGTCGTGACGCACTCGGTTGCATTTTTGTCAAGCGCCCCATTTGGGTTTAGCTTTTACGCCGTCTGCCGCAGGTGTGGCGGCTGTCGCCATCGAAAACACAGAAGGAGGGAGGTGGATTAAGGAAAACTACAAGTTCTCTCACTGTATCCCCGAGGAGCTGCAGAGCCAGATTGACGGGAAGTACCTGGACTCCTTCAAAAGCTTTAGCAAGTAGACATGATCCCTCAGGAGCTCCCTGAGAACTTTTTTCACTAAAACCAAGACAAAATGTTTGCATAGAATCATATTTATTAATGAATTACAATGAAGTACAGTGTAATCATTACCTAGTTACCTTTTTAACAAATTTTAAAAACTGAAAAAATGTATTTTCTCTTTTGTAATTTCATGCTGACGTATAAAATAAACAATGAGCTTCAGTCACAAATGGTCAACATTCACACAAACACTACATCAACACTTTCTGTCACTGATTCACTGAGTCATTGTGAACCTTTGAAGAATCACCAATAGGTCCATAATAAGTATGGGTATCGGTCTGTATAAGAAGCGCCCACAAAGGGTCCCATTAAAGTCCCTAACACATACCACTTTTCTTGATTCAGAGAAATGGGAGTTAAAAGTACATATTGCACTAAAAGACTACACTTAAAGAGTACTGAATGGGCTACAGCAGCAAACTAAAGATTAAATCCATTGTCTAAGAAAGGCAAACATTTACAGTCAGTCTTTGGTTTCTTGGCAGTTTTTTGTGCGCCATTTCGGAGTCAATCTGTAACCCCAGCACAGTACCACAAGAATGCACACTCATCCGGTGTAGGAAAGCTCCTCAGGGCAGGAAACTCTGACTTTAAACCTGCCGAGAAATTCAATTTAGGCGTCCCTCTCCCTCCTTCAACCACAGAAATCCTCCCGACTCAGCTGGATAGGAGCCATCTGCTGAGGAAAAAGCCCCCCTGCCCCCCCCCCCCCCTGGCCCCCCCCCCCCCCCCCCCCCCGGGTCTGTGCGTTTGACTTCCCTTCTGCCTCCGTCCTTTACTGACAGCAGTTGTGCTGCTTCTTCTTAGGCGCCGTGTACAGATTGCTCGAGTTGCTGTTTATTCCTGAAGGGGGGGGGGGGACACAGAGCCTTTGGTTGAAATGTGAAACGGATATCTTTTGCTTTCATGTTGTGAGACTGGTGGGGACACTCACGGATAACGTCTCCTATTTGCCTGGATCCACCTTTCTCCAGCTCGGCCAGGACGTTTGTCTCGAAGGCCAGCGAGGCGAGTCGGAAGAAAAACTCGTTCACGTTTTCCCCTGCAGGAGGAGCCACATGCATCAGGCCCTGCATGGAAACTACTGGGGGGGGCAACCTTTGAAATAAACGGCTCCCCTCCCGCTAATTAGCATTAGTTTCCGATCCTTCTCTCACTTAGATGAATAACAGTCGGATGCCAGGCGGGCGTTAATGATCCTTCATTCATTTGCTCAAAAACGAGGTCAGACGACTGTACTGATTGATCATGGTTTTCCTTCAGTGTGGTTTTCCTCCCTGATGCCACTGGCCTCACATAATCCAAACATCAGCTCCAGAGAGAATCTCTGAGTCTGATTCTCCCCCCATTTAAACAAGGCCCTCCATCTTATCTGAACAATGCTTCAGGTTAGCCAAAATTACTGATAAGAGTGAGCAAATCTAGTAAATTACTTCTTTTGTCCTACTTTTATTGAACTTTTTACAGCAGTATACAAATACGGTTTTCCAAAAACTCACCAGTCAGTGACGAAACGGCCCAATACTCTGCATGGATCTCATTTGCTAATTTCAGCGCATCTTGTTCAATCCGTGAATACTGAGCAGGAGACTGTCAGACAAAACAGAAGAATTACCAGCTTGAAGTTAACAGTTAACAGAATATTTATTCTTTTCTGAAACTGAGAGCTGTGTGGTTCTGCCAAAAAAGTTTTAAAAATCTCATCCTGGAGCCAAAGAACACTTTCGAAAACCTGGAAATTGTGATCACGGGAAAGAGTATTCAAAGGAACCACAGAAAAGTTTGAAAAGAATGTGGCCTTCTAGTGCTTTAAGGCTGATTTAATAAAGGAGTTGCAAACCTTCTCACTCTCAGATTGTTGTTACCTACCTTTTGAACTTCTGGAGGACCAAAACAACAGTAATGTGCAGTGTTCTGCAGAGGGCCGAACCATTACAGAATTAAAAGAATAGAAAAGCAGGCTACAATTTGCCTTAAACCGAGTGCATACAGTTATTTCTTAGAAATGTTGCTGAGCTCGTTATTTCTGCCTCAACCACAAATGCTTTTGGGGTCTAGAAAAGAAGGAGAAAACATTCCTGAGGTCTGACCCGGGACGCAGACTCCGTGCCGCTGGCACCGGTCCAAGCAACTCACATCTGTCTCCAGGAAAAACAAGCTAAAAGGTCTGGCATGTCCACTTTAAACAGTGGAGGACTTACACTCAGGTCCTTCTTTGTGCCGACCAGGAACAGCTGAACGGCGGTGGGGTCGTTCTCCCTCAGGGCGTCCTCCAGCCACTGCCTGCAGGCAAGGAAGCAGGGCATTAAAAACCCATGACCAGACCAATAACATGTTTATGTTCAACTGTCTTACCTTGAATGGCCCAAAGATGCTATGTCATTCAAATCAAACACGATTACGACAACTGCAAAGGAGGAAAACAGATATGAGCAGTGTTTTTGGACCTAGTTAAATAATACCTCAAACGTCCAGACGGATGTTTGACTGACCCTGAGCTCCTCTGTAGTAAGTGGACGCGATGCATTTGAATCTCTCTTGGCCGGCCGTGTCCCAGCTGAAACACAGACAGATGACCACCGTCACCCCCCGGCTGCCTACGCCGTTCATCCCCTACCCGTAAAAACCCGGACGACACTTACAGCTGCAGGCTGAAAGGAACACCCAGCACCTCGAAGCGCTCCATCTCAAAGTCCACCCCGATGGTCGCCTTGTAGTTCTTATCGAAGGCATCTTTGCAGAATCTGAAACGACGAGGAAGGTGACCGGTTCGCAGTGATGAGTAACCAGATAAACGTGGATGAAATTGGGGGGGGTTATTTGGGCTGGGGTCACTGTTTGGGATTCGATGACAATCAGGTCAGTGGTCAGTGACCTGATGGAGTGAATCCAGCCAATGAGGCCACAGAAATGTGCTGACCTCGGCCTTAACAAGACAGGAGGACAACAGCGATGGGAGTCTCGAAACGAGTGAGGCTTTGGTACCAAAACATTCAAATTCGAATGCATTGCTATGGCCCAAAATCCCATTTAGAATCTTCTTGACCCCGGAACATTTTCTACGTTTCATCAGACGTGTTATTAGAATCCCTTTTTCGGTGGAAGATTTCTGCTATGAAATCTGGAAGTCTCAGAACGGCTTGCATTTGGAGCCTAGCTAGCAGAATCAGTGCCAGCCAACGCTGACAAAGCTCCAGCTCAGAAAAAAAAGGCCTCACAGGCCCAGCAAAGAGCCCCCCGCCATGCAGTGAAAAGTCCCCAAGCGGCGAGACAATCCCGGGAGCGATGGGTTTACCTATTAATCAGGCAGGTTTTCCCCACGGCCAGATCCCCCACCACGATCACCTTCGAGATTTTAAATCTGCTGCCAAGAAGAGAAGCGGTGAATAAACCGGGGGGGTTCGGCTGTGGGAGTTAGGGTCCACTCCCCTCGCTCACCCCACGGTCCCGGTTCGCTGCTCCTGGCACGCCGTCTTCACTTTGTTATGGAAGTCCTCCTCAGTGTGGAGTGCCGCCTCTCTCCTGAAGGACTAGGAGAAAAGAAAAGAAGGCGGCTTTGAGAGGCTGCTGACCGTTTGACAGCGACCATCGGCCCCTACCCCCCCGGCTGGTCTCACCTGGGGGAGCTGAGCCACGACGCGGTCCCGGCGGACCGGGGGCAGAACGCTCATGCCGGAAACCCTGACGGACATGGAGCTTCCAGGAAGGGACGGCTGGACAGAGACACGGCTCCTCTGTTGTTAGCAACGCTCGCTAGGCCAACAGACACAAAGGAGAAAATGACCAATCCAAAACGCTCTCTATCTGAGCTCTAACGCTCTCCCGGTTTGCCTATTTTCTCAGCTGTCAGATAGGATATCACTATGATTCTTTGGTTGAAAAAGCTTTGAAATCTGCATGAACCAGCCAAAGATCCTGCAAAGCTGAAGGGACAGTTTGTTAAAAGCACAAACACACTGATCTGTCTACTGTAGTTTGTCCACTGGAGAAACCATCAACTTCTACTCATTTATACACACACCTCAGTGAAATTCTGAATGTTACTGCAAAAATATACACATATTTTGACACTTATTAGTAAATTGGCACTATCTAGGCTCCATTATTGATCTTATCGCTATGGTAATATGACCAGCTACATCTAAAAGAGCAACACTGAATGTCCCAAACACAAACATGACAATTTCACCTTTTGTAGATGAATCGAAACAATAATGGAGATTTAGATTCATTTTCTAGGACTTACATTAGGACACTAGGATTTAGATTCCCGTTCTAAAACTTCCTCTGTGGGATAAAAAAAAAGTTACTCTTACAGTTTGTTTGCAGTTCTTTGGATGCGACTAATTCCAGAAATGAGGACTAAACCGAGCAGGACACTGTCAAAAAGAAAGTCAAAAGGATGTGGGTTACAGAAACTCCTGCTATTCTCTTGTTGCACCTTTGTTGGGATTTCATATATATTTCATAATTTGGGGCCTCCAGGGTTTAGTCGGTACCCAGATACGCAGCCACACCAGTCCTCATCCACGAAATGAGACGGAACCAGACAACCGGGAGCAGACCCGATCCACGGATCCGATCTACGGATCCGATCCACGGACTGAACCCCCCCCCCTCTCTAATCCTGCTGTTCGGGGCTAAAGACGCTATCTTTGTTTGGGCTCAACACGTGACCGCTGCCCGGCGACCGTAAACTGGATCCAGCGTT